TTTTTTTTTTCCTCCAATTTCTTTTTTTAGGCACATAATGATTTTGGAATGTAATGCTTACCCTGGATAGGCGGGGATGGCTGTAGGAGGTACCGCTCGAACTGCACCATATACTGTTCGCCCTCTGCCCCTAAGATGGGCTCCTCTGAAAGCAGCCGCTGTGGTGGCTGCAGTTGGGTAAGGGAAGCCAGGAACTAAAGGGAGACCCAAAATATTACAGAAATTTCAATGTGCATTCAGTAGCATGTATAGTCACAACTCACTGTAAACAAATTACAGAAGAGATGAAAAGCTATGTATCACATTGTTCAAAAGCTGGCACATAGTCTTCAGCCCTGGGTCTCTGAGAGGGAAAGAAGGGGAAAGAAAAATCTGACATGCACAAGTGAATTATTCCATGCCTAAATGATCACAACTTGAGTGAATTTATTCTGTTCCTTCCCATTTTGCCATTACAATGCTAGCTAGTAAGACACAGGTCAAGAAGCTCTGAGGACTATTGGCCCAATAAGAGACAAGACTTCTAATTTCTGTGGAAAGTTTAAATCAGATTGATATGAACTCTTTCAGTGGCCAATTATTAATCTTGTTTCCTAACATTGCGTGAATATAATTGATTCTCAAAAGGATGTTCTTTTATATTTTTATGTGGTATCACCTCCAAGGCACACAATAGGTTAGTTATTTCATTTCATTAGTTTATTTCATTCTTTCATCTGTAATGTTTTAAGGCAGAAATTTAAGGTGAGAGGAAAACCACTCCTACCCTGTCATCCACTCAAGAGGCAGACATTCTCTAAGGGCTTATTTTAAGTGTGTTGTTCTTTGGAAAATGTGCAGAGACATTACTTCCACATCCACTGAATCCTGTTTAATTATACCTCTTGCCAGAATAAAAAGGCTCAGGTCAAAGTGACTTTAGAGATATCAAGGGAGCTGAGAATAATCAGCTGTACTGGAGGTGCCTTTAAGTGACTCTCCACTGGAGAGTCCTAAATAGACTAGCAGAAGACATGAATAACAACATGCTACACATATTCATATCTGTTTTATTATCAAGTACAGAATGAATATTCTTCACATGCCCTCACCCCTTATCCCCTCTTTCCAACTACTTTTGTGGCAGTCTGTTCACATGTGGTCAGGAACATTCTAGTATGGGTTAAACAGAACAAGGCATTATGATAATATTTATTGCCCTTCTTGAAAATGTTTTCTTTTCAGTTATGTATTAGACTAGAACATATAACAAACTAGCACACTACCGTTCAGTCACAGTAGTCCAAATCCATTCCAGGCCAACATAGGCTACTTACTGATTAAAGGAATGTAAGTGTTGATACCCCCTCTTCCTGATAGGGGCACTGCTGCATCATTGCCCAGGGACACATCTGCTTGAAAGCTGGATGCTGATTGCATTTAAAAATGGAAAAAAGATTACAAAGGGGTAGAAAATTGAAACTACAGAGGCCATAATAGTTAAACAGCATAAATAGAAACATTAATTTAAATACTACCTGCATATAATTCGGGGCCATATACAGCTCCAACTACCGGGCTTAATTTCCAACCTGAAACAGAAGACAGTGAGCATTTAAGATTACTGAAGGAGTGACCAGTGCATATCAAGTTGGCTTTAGACATCTCTGGGTTTATATTTGTCTACTATTAATTCCTCCTTACAAAGCCAGCTTGGGGTTTATATGAGAGGGCAGTGGCACTGTCTTGAAGCAGGACTAGAATAGCTGAATGGATAATGAGAGGATCAGGAAAAGTAGGCAAGGATATATGTATGGGGTTCTTGTGGAGAAAGACAAATTGGGAAAGAGAAAGGAAGATGAAGAGAGAATAAAAGCAAGAAAAAGAGACAGAAATAAACCCACGGGTTATAGTGCTGTCACAACACTACCCAAATGCCCTACTCTTAGCTTAGCAAAAGGAAAGAAGGCAGTACATGTGCCATTCTGTATCACCTCACAGGGTGATGCACTTTCTCACACATCACTTTAACAGTCTTTATCACTATGGTTATCTTATAAAGGTATCTTCTGACTGGACTCAAATTTGACTTGGATTTTAGACTCCAGGTCCAATTAAATCATGATGGTTTTCTGGGTAGAATGAAATCCTCTTTCACTGGAATTTACCACTGGGATTTCACTGGGATCCACCAAATAAAAAAGGAAAGACATGCAGTAATAAAATTTAGGGTACATTCCAACTTCAGTGGCTCAATCTGTAATGGACATATTTAAGTGAATCAGATTTAAGATATCAGAATTTCTGAACATTAGCTTCAATGTTTATAAATGCTAGAAATTTCCTAACATTATGTTTGATGTCATTTTATTTCTTCTTTGCCTTTTAAAAATATATATAGGAATATGGCATGTGTTTTATAAAAAGAGAAAAATGTACTATTCCCCACTTAAGCAAATTTTAGTCAATATTTACACTGAATTTTACATACAATAAGCAAACATACTTTATTATTTTTCTGAAAGACTAACTCTTCTGTTGATTTGTTCCCTTGCATTGTACCATTGCTACTTTATAAATATATGAGTGGAAACCAATTCTATTGAAATTACCAGATTTAAATGGCAATAACCAACGGCATTACTTAAGAGAAAATCTATTCATTCTCAATCCAATCTCCTATTTTGATGTGCTAAAGAATGTGCTATTTTATATGTTCCTGATGATGGTGTCCCTTATTCTATATAAAACTGCAGTGGAATCTAAGTTCAAATACGACTTGCATTAGAAAGCATGACTGCTCTGCAATGTCAAATGTGTGTAAATTGCAAAGAGATGGCACAATGCTTTTGCACAGATTAAGTGATTCCAACCAACATAAACAAAAATGTTAACTTAAAATTCTCCGGAAGTTTTGCAGCATACTCTTCTTAGGACCTTAAACATAGCAGCAGCAGTTTTCTTGAGTATCAATAATTTAAAATAACTTCCACAAAACTGACCATTTTCTTTTCTACCAATGACCATATTTCCCGAGCACTCCTTTATTTTCTTTAGTGGTACTAGGGATTCAACCCAGGGCCCCATACATGACAGGGAAGGACTCTTAAGAGCTTAGCCACACCCCAGCCCTGAGTTCCTTTTAAATCCATAAATGGATATAAGTTGTTATGTTGTTAATAATGCTTTACACAGCTTAGAATGCATTTTTAAAGATGCCATTTGGCCTTTACAAAACCCAAAGAGGCAGACAGGTTCCATAATCTATGAAATGTGGGTAAATGTTATAGTTCTTCGGGCCATTCTTAAATAAGCAGAGACAGTTGGGTTGATGATTTCTAAAGAGGCTTTACAACTTAAAGATGTGAAAACAAAATCTGACAGGTTAAAAATGCGGTCTGATGTCACAGAATAAAACGTAGAGTCATATCCAGAGAGTAAAATTTCTGTCTTCTGAAATCCTATCAGAGGCTCTTTCTGTCATGTCATTTTCCCTGGATCTAAAGAAACTTTGACATACTTTAAGTCTCTTTCTCCCTTTTGTTTATGTTGCCTTTTTATCAAAATTACAGGAACTTGTTTTTATAATAGCAGTAAAAATAAAGCAAGAGGTAAAGCAGTAGGTAGTGGTATTTCATGATTATACAATTGATAAAATAGGTTAAAAAAGGAAATCATGCTGATAAATTCTATCATGTGTGGAAAAAGCTAGGCTGAATGTATTTAGTAAAGACCTCATAGGATATACTGAATATTAATATATTTCTACTTAATTCAAAATTTTACTATCACATAAGGCCTATAATATTCAGGTTCAAACTTCTAAAGAAAACAGCAGTAATTATCCCTTTTATTTTAAATAAAATCTTATGCAGAACCCTTAAATATACAACAGAGAATGAAAAGTTGTTTAGGCCAAAGCAGAACTGGAGGGCAGAGGATATAGCCCCGTAGAAAAGCATCTACTTAGCATGCAGGGGGCCCAAGGTTTGATACTCAGCACTATTAAAAAACAAAGAAAGAGTAAAGCAAGAAAAGTAAAGAAAAGACAACCAGAGACCTCAGGACCCAGCCCATTTGCTTTCCTCTTTATTCTTCCTCAGGTTGACTCTGCAGAATACTTGGCAAAATCATTGTGGCACTGCAGATTAAAGTTATAGTATGTGCTATCACACTTAGAGAACACAAATCAGTTAAATTTGACAACTGGTATAAGAGTTCTGTTTTGTTTTGTTTTTTAATTTTATTGAGTTTATTGGTACATTTTAGGGATACAGTACAGTT